GTGGCACCCAGAGGCGCCCATCAGGGTGCTTCCAATCGCGACGAAGGATGTGTTCGAATCGCAGAGGGACGAGGTCGATTAACTCCTGCGAGTCGCCGCTGCAGTCGGGAATGTCGAAGTCGAGAACGTATACGCCGTTCTCGGCGCGCGCCCGTCCGATCTGCTTGCGCTTCTTGTTCGGCATCGTGAAGTGGAGCAGGATGTCGCGCGTCTCGGGGTCAGTGCTGAGGATGACTCCGCAATCCAGGAGTTGCGCCGCCGAGAGTAAATTAAAGCGCAGGTTCTGCACAATCAACACGTCGTTGAGTGTGATGTGCGTTTGGCTCCCTCATGCCTTGAGCACCACGATGCCTTGCGCGCTTGCGCGCAGCCGCGTGTTGTTCGCCACAGTTACGTAGGTGACGACGGGGGTGGGGATGGCGTTGGATATGTAACGCTCAGAGCCCACCATGTGCTGCCCACAGCAACTGTCCAGGTACCAGTTGTTGTAGCGCCTGTTGTCGTTTCGCGCGAGCAGCGCCAGTCGCGGAGTGACGATGTGTGGAGTGTCTACCTTCAAAAATTGTTCGCGCGCGATCCAGTCGATCGGTGCCGGCCGCATGTCAGGTACGTGCGGAGGGCTCTCAAGCAGCGGGACTGGTAGATTCCAGTCCTGGTTGTCGTCGTCGCTGTAGTCGTGACGCGTGCTGAACGGATTGTTGTTCGAGAACGCTTCGATTGGGGTAGGCGCCGGCTCGGGTGACAGTGAGCGTGCGCGCGGACGACGAGATGGTCATGTTCCCCATGACGTTGCGGACGGAGGTGGCCTGTGATGGCTGCTGCTGCTGCTGAACTGTTGGGTTCAGGTTGCGCGATGGGGATTGATACCCCTGGGCGGGACGCGTGTCGTTCCTCGCGTCTTGTCGGCCGGACCAGTTGCTCGGATTGGTCTGGCGAGGGCGAGATCGAAGCTTGCATCGATCCGCAAGGTGCCCGAAATTCCTGCAGATTTTGCAGTAAAGGCGCCGCGGCCGTCGCTCTTCTGTGTTGTCGGCGAAGAAGGCGAGGCGCTCCTTGTCTCGTCGCGGCGCTGGTCGCTGCTGGTCCATATCCCTTTGTTCGACGAGAAGGGCGGCGCAAAGGGCGGCCTCCGAGATGACCCCCTGCTGTCGGAGAAGCGCCTTGCAGGGCCGCCACTCTGGGCCGAGCCCTTGGAGCACAATGTTCACGAAGATCTCCTCAGATATCGAGCTCCCCAATTTCGCGATTTGATCGTGTAAGCTCCGACAGCGATTCAGGTAGCTGTTGGCCTTCTCTCCTGGTGCCATCTTTGTCTCCAGTAGCTGCTGGAGAAGGCGGCTCGACGACACTGAGTCCTTGGGTTGGTACACGCCATTCAGGTGGCGCCAGGCGTTGAGGGCTGGAGCAGGGGAGGTCTTGTATGAGCGAATGCTCAATTGCTCCGTCGGCGACATGTTCCGCAGAAGAACCCCATACGCCATCAGGGACTCGTTGTAGTACTTGGTTTTTGCGTCGTCAGTATCTTCCGTAGGTCCCGAGTAGCTCCCGTCGAAATAATGGTAAATCTGCGCGTTTTGCAGCAGCAGTTCCAGCTCGAAGCTCCAGGTATAGAAGTCTCTGCCGTCAAAGCACACACTTGTCTTTATTTTTGATATGCTCAAGAACCTTGATTGCGCAGAGAGAATTGCTTCGTCGCTGGGACAGGGAGTCTTGGGGGTTGAGCCGTTCGTATCGAGAGAGAAGCCTTGCGGGGTGGAGTTTTGGCCGTTTGAGGCCGGTTGAGTGGGTTGGGAAGAAGTTCCCGCATCGCCATTCCGCAGTGTTTGGAGCCCTTGCTCCTGTTGGGCTGAAAAGGCCCTTAGGATCTTTGCAGGGGTGAACTCTGGGTAGAGTTGGTGTAGTAGCGGAAGCGTTAATTAAAGAGTTGTGAACCACCTTGCGCTAGTATGTGAGGGCAAAGTAAGTTGATTAAAACAAAGAGATACAAGATTATATAAGAGTACAAGGAATATGAAAGGATACGGTTATAACTGTTTTACTTGTTGCTGTTGCGGTTCGATACAGTGACGACTCGGGCAACTGCTCTGTAGCGAGTCAGTTGTGTGTCCTTGCTGTCGCGCTGTACTTGTCAGGTCAAAGGTCGCTGACCTTTGACTTTCGCGTAACCTCCAGCGGTTACTTCAACCTCCGAGGGTTGACTCGCTGGTGCCTCGATATGCTTTGCTTCGCTTGTGCCTTAGTGTTTCGACACGACAGAAGCGCTTAGGACCGATTGTTTCCAACACTCCCCTTCGCTTCTGGAGTGTCGCTGACGTGGCTCTGTCCAGTCAGCAGCATGCAGTATTCGAACTTCTGCTTTCCGAGCTTCTTGGTCAGGTAGTCAGCTGCCATCTCGGACGTGGGGCAGTATGACAGCTCGAGCCTTCCCTTCTCGATCTCGTCCTTCACGAAGAAATATCGCAGGGCGATGTGTTTCGTCCTGTTCGCGAAGCCGTTCTTGTTGGCGATGTGAATTGCCAATTGGTTGTCGCAGAACAGGGTAAAGTTGGGTAACTCGGCTAACTTCGCTTCTTCCAGCAGCTCGCAAAGATAGAGTCCTTCCTTGGTGGCTGAGCAGAGTGCAATATATTCTGCTTCAGCTGACGAGAGAGCAATTAGTTCCTCCTTGCTCGATTGCCAGGAGATAGGTCCGATAGGTTCGAGGCGGTAGATGTAGCCGGTGCGGGGGCGCCTATTGTCTGAGTCGCCCGCGTGATCTGCGTCGACGTAACCGATTAGCTTAGGCGTTGTAGTTGCGTTCTTATGGAAAGTCAGGCCGACCGTCGGGGTACTGACAAGGTAGTGAAGAGCGCGGTCGAGCTCCGCCAGATGTTCCACTTCAGGCTTCTTGAGGTGGGTGGCGAGCTGGCTTGCAGAGTAGGATAGATCTGGGCGGCAGGTGACAGTTGCGAAGAGAAGGCAGCCCAGCTTTCTCTGGTAGTCGCGTATGCCGGCGGGCTTGAGTAGAACGGAGCCTTTCTTGTTGTTTGCTGTCGTGTAGCGGTACGGTGTGGGGATGACAGTCGGTGTGAGTGCGAAACGCTTGGCGATGGTGTCGGCGTATTTCGCGGCGCTGACGTAGATAGCGTCTTCCTCTTCCCGGATGTTGAGGCCGAGGTACTGTGTGACGGTAGATGAGACCGTGAGTGTGAGGGCTTGCTGTAGCTCCCCTTCGAACCAGGTTGTAATGCCGTCAGTTGAGCCGATGTAGAGCAGATCGTCTACATAGACGATTAGCAGGATGTAGTCGGTACCCTTCGTGAGCCGGTACATGCCCTGGTCGTGCGGCAATTGCTTGAAGCCGATGCGAATGAGGCGAGCGTGTAGGTATTGTTGCCATAGTCGCGGAGCTTGCTTGATGCCGTAGAGTGACTTGAGTAGTTGACAGACGTGGTTCGAGTCCGTGCTGGAGCCGTGTGGTAGCTCGACGAAGATCTCTGCGTCAACGGGTGCGTAGAGAAATGCGTTAGCGACGTCGATTTGCCGCAGCTTCTTCTTCTTCTTCATGGCAGCGATCGCGAGAAGGATGCGTAGCGAGGTGTGTCGGCTGACCGGAGCGAATGTTTCGGTGAAATCGCGTCCGTGCTCTTGGTCGAAGCCACGTACGACCCAGCGTGCCTTAAATTTGTCGATGGTGCCGTCAGCCTTTGTCTTCACACGGAAGACCCACTTCCCGGTGAGCACTGTCTTGTTCCGTGCCACGCCGATAGGAACCACTTTCCACGTGTTGCGTTCCTCCAGTGCCTTCAGTTCCTTGTCCATGGCTTCGCGCCATTTTTCCCTATGTTCCCCCCCCAGAGCCTGCTGAACCGTCGCAGGCTCTTTAGGAGTGGCGGTGCCGTGGACTGCGGTGACGAGTCCGAGAATCTGTAGTCCACTCTGTGAGTAGCGGGGAAGATTTACGTCCTCGGGATAAGCTGCTTCATCTCCCGCTTCTGGATCAGGTATGAAGTTCGGTCCTACTCGTTCGGCTTCGTTGGTGTTGACTGTCGCAGGTGTTACGTAACCGTTGTCGGCGAAATGGTAGAAGGTTTCGGCGTTGGCACTTTCGCGAGGGTTGTCTTCGTCCATGGGAACGTCGACGGAGCAGAACGGAAGAGGTCCGGCTTCTTCTGATGCGTTGTCCACATTCTGCTTGTCCCAGTCGGCTTCGTCCGCTGCTGAGGCGAAGGCTCGGTCACCACGAAAACCACCTGTGGGATCCTGGTCTTCGTGCAGGTTGGCAAGGTATGTCTGGAGCGTGAGTCGTTCGTAGAAAATTACATCACGTGCTGCTACTGTTTCCTTGGAGTGGACGTCGAAGATTTTCCACGCGTTGTAGTTCTTTTCGATTCCCAGGTGTAGTCCCCACTGTGCTCGTTGAGAAAATCGGCCCGCTCGTGCTGCTGGGGGTCGGTACTGTACCATGCATCCGAATACTCGTAACATTTTTGTGCTGCCCTGTTTCCCTGTCCATAGCAGATGCGGTGATGCGTTGTTCGGAAGCGATGATGACGACAGCAAGTTGTGCAGCATGACGGCGTGGTCCATTGCTGCAGGCCACTGGTGGTTGGGTAGCCGCATGCCACGTAACAGTTTGCGCATGCTGTTCTGCAAGGTCCTGTTCATTCTTTCTGCTACACCCTGCTGCTGATGGGCGTAGGGAAGGGAGATGAGTCGCTTGATTCCCCTTTCCGCCAGGTACTGCTTGAATCGCTGAGAGGTGTATTCTCCTCCTCCGTCTGACTGGAAGCTTTTCAGCTTCACGCTTGATTCTCTCTCTGCTACTGGTAGCCAGGCAACGAAGGCTGCGAATGCCATGTCGCGGCTAGGGAGGTTTAGGTGCCAGACGTAACGGGTGGCGGCGTCGATGAAGGTGATTGTATAGTTGTATATTACTTGTCCTGGTTCCCGATTGTACAGGATGTCGCTATACACCTTCTCGAGTGGTGCGTACGCGGGTGCGCTCGGGTTGTGATGAGATGCAAACGGTCGATGTGGTAAGTCACCCTCAGGGCAGGTGAGGCACGTTCCGCGTACTCGTTGAAGTTCTCGTCCGTCGGTCAGTAGAAGTGAGTCCTTGTCGAGTACTCCTGCTCTTATCGTATTGTTTAATACTGTGTTGCTTGGGTGTCCCATCCTTGCGTGCCAGGTGCTTTCGTCGGCGCGATGTCCGGGTGATCGTCGGTACATATCTGAGTTGGAGTAGAAGTTGGCGGTGAAGTTGGCGCTACGATGAACTTCTCGTGGTGCTGGGTGTAATTGTTGCGCGGGTGTCGGTGGTGTGTCGTCGATGAGGAGCGGTGTCGTTGAAGGACCAGCAATTGGTGTTGACGTTCTTGCTGCTGCCGTTGATGGTTCTGCTACTGCCGATGTTGTCTCTGCTGCTGCCGATGTTGTCTCTGCTGCGGCCGACGTTGTCTCTGCTGCTGCCGATGTTGTCTCTGCTGCTGCCGATGTTGTCTCTGCTGCTGCCGACGTTGTCTCTGCTGCTGCCGATGTTGTCTCTGCTGCTGCTGTTGTCTGAATTGTTGCTAACGCCCTTGTTCTTTCTGCTTCAGGGATGGTGTGTGAATACCAGAAGCCTTCTGGACTGAAGTCTGGATCAAGGTCTGGAGGGTGTGTCCAGTCGGTGAAGTTAACGATGGCGTCGCTGTCGGCGGTGCCAAGGTCAGGAACGAAGTCAAGAACGAAGACGTTGTTCTTGAGGACCGCCTTGCCGATGTAGAGTCCTCCTCTCCCGTGATACAGCTTGAATTCTTGGGTGGTGCTGTCTGCTTCGAGGTGAATCCCCTTTGCCATTAGCTGACTGACGCTCAGTAAGTTGTAGCCGAGTCCCTCCGCGATTAGTACTTTTGACATATGCAGTACAACGTTTGTTTCCCTTGACTGAAGTTGAACTACACCTTGTCGTCGTGTTCACAGGTTCTGATTGTTGGCGACTGTAACGACAACTTCGCGTTGAAGTTGGTGTTCTCGTTGAACGAAGCGTCCCGAGGAGCACATGTGCTGTCCGCAGCAACTGTCCAAGAACCATGTGTTCCTTCCGGATGGTTCGCTTTGGGCGATGGCGGCGTATGTCGGGTTCGGCTGAAGTGACTCGCGGCGGGGTGTGGTTTCGTCGAGTTGCTCTTCCGGTGAGTAGTGTGGCGGTGACTCGGTGATGCAGGAGTCACTCAGCTTTGCCATGCAGTTGACGATGTTTCTTGCTCCTTGTGCAGGTTGTCCTGTTGAGGTCGTTGAAGCTTGAATCTGAGTCGTGGGATTTGCTTGCGTTGAGGCGATTTGGCTGCTTGAGGGTCGAAGTTGCCGCTGTGGAGTTGTTGACTGTTGACGATTCGGGCAGTGCGTGCGCGGGTGTCCTGAAGTTTTGCAGATGTGGCAGAACGGAGGTACTAGCTTCGGTTGTTGCTGCCGGTTGTTGTTGTTGTTGTTGTAGCGTCGCTGAGTGTGGAACGCGAATTCCGGTGCTGATGTTTTCTTTTTGTGTCCTTCTTCTTGCAGGTCCATGTCTTGCTGCTCGGCGTGGATTTCGGCGCAGAGCGCTGCTTCGGAGATTCTTCCGTGAGCTCGGAGAATGGCCTTTGTGGCGCGCCATTGAGAACCGAGGCCGCCGATGATGACTGTCACGAAGGCGTCTTCAGAGATCGATCCTCCGCATCGAAGGAGCTTGTCGCGCAATTCGCGACATCGGCTGATATACGCCATTCCTTTCTCCCCTGGTTTCATTTCAACCGTTGTCAGTTGCGCCATTAACCGACTTTGGCTTACGCTGTTTGTTGCTTGATACAGGCTCTTCAGGTGGTTGTACGCGAGCTCCGCGGAGTTGCCGTAACCTCGGTAAGACCTTATGTTCTGCTGTTGAGTCGGGGTGATATTCCTCAGTAGGATCGTGTACGCCATCATTGACTGATAGGTGTATTGCTGCTTCTCGTACTGTGTGCCGTTTGTTGGGTATGGCAGAGACCCGTCGAAGAACCCGAGTATCTGCGCGCCTTCCATCATCAGCTCGAACTCAAACGACCAGGTGAAGAAGTCCTTTCCATCAAAGGGTCTTGACGTCTGCATCTTCAGAACGTGTGCGAACTGCGACTGAACTTGTAATGCGTCCAGTGGTTTTTCTTGTCCAGGTGAGGGCTGTGGGTGTGGCATGAAGCTGATGGACCTGCGCTCGTACGGAGCAAAGGTGGGCTGATGTTGCTGATTTCCTCGTGCATATGATGAGCCGTCGAGACTCATGGGTGTTGCTCCGTTGTTGTTGCTATTGTGTGACTGCGCAGGTGCCGATTGCTGGTGTTGCTCGTAGAAGGACATGAAGGAGAAGAACTTCTCCATCATGCTCTGGTCGAAGTCTGCAGGTTGATTTGCGGGAGTCTCGGTAGATGTTGCTCTGGGTCTTGTTGCCGTGCCCTCCTCTGTCTGTAGGCCAGAGGCAGGAGGTGGAGTAGGAGTAGTGCCCTGGGAGCCGTTGGAGTTGCTCCTTTCCTTTTGTGTAGCCATGGTGATTGATGTTGTCGGTATAGTAGTTGAATTCCCCCTGATTGCTCTCATACCATGTTGGGCTGAAAAGGCCCTTAGGATCTTTGCAGGGGTGAACTCTGGGTAGAGTTGGTGTAGTAGCAGAAGCGTTAATTAAAGAGTTGTGAACCACCTTGCGCTAGTATGTGAGGGCAAAGTAAGTTGATTAAAACAAAGAGATACAAGATTATATGAGAGTACAAGGAATATGAAAGGATACGGTTATAACTGTTTTACTTGTTGCTGTTGCGGTTCGATACAGTGACGACTCGGGCAACTGCTCTGTAGCGAGTCAGTTGTGTGTCCTTGCTGTCGCGCTGTACTTGTCAGGTCAAAGGTCGCTGACCTTTGACTTTCGCGTAACCTCCAGCGGTTACTTCAACCTCCGAGGGTTGACTCGCTGGTGCCTCGATATGCTTTGCTTCGCTTGTGCCTTAGTGTTTCGACACGACAGAAGCGCTTAGGACCGATTGTTTCCAACAGCTCCAGGCTCGTGAGTCGCTGAAGCAGTTGTGCGAGAACGGCGGAAGGGATTGTCGTCATTTCCTCGCTTGTCGCAGCCGGATTGGGCTGCGCTTCAGCCGTCAGATTCGTCTGACCTCCAGATCCTCCGGCCATTCTTACACGCGATCGTGTGCCGGACGCCACTTTCCGAATGTCGTATATTTCGGAGGTGGCTGTGCGAAGGATTCCTGAGTCGCTCTCATACCATGTTAAAATCAGAAAGTGATCGTAACCAGGATCACCTCAGGAAGGTTCGCACAGTTCTAGTCTAGTGGTGGTGGGCCCTTGACCTCAATAGCAGAGTGAATGTAAATGCTTGACCGTGAGCTCCCGCCTAGAAGACCCGGGGGTCTTATCCTAAATGTGCTCAAAATGGGCTGTGGGGTCTTATCTGATGGCATAGAGTGCATAAGACCCCCGGACATTTATAAATCACACAAAAATGGATTGTAAAGACCAGTATTGAAGAATTTCAATATTTTTTTTGCGAATTCGAGTACGGCTCAAAACGCGGAATTCTATCGCCACTCTCGCTTCGCGCACATCAATCGTTGCCACCAGGGCTCATTTTTTGTTTTGACCAACCCTTACGATCAGTCTAGCACCTGTTCAAAAACCTGATTTTCAGGGTTACCCGTTGTGGAAAACCTGATGCGTCAGGGTTTTTGCATATATTAAAAAGACTACCCTGAGGCATCAGTGTACCACCAATTCGCAAAACCCTGTTTCAGTTGTTCTTGTAACACAGCACACAATAACAAGCTCAATCATCATCATCAGACATGCCACAAGGTTGTTGCTCGTGGTCACTGTCCTCCTCTGGCTCCGGCACTTTCTCCTTGCCTCGAATGAAACTGTATTTCTGGCCAATGGTGGCCCACCTCGTTCCAGCACACGTAAAGTCCTGCCGAAATCTACATTTTCGACAGTTGGCAAAGGGAAAATCCTGGTTCCGGGGTCGGGTGGTTAGGGGACGGGGGGGGGGGGTGGGAGTTCGCTGGTACGCGCTTCAGGGTAAACCTCGATAAGCGGAACGGCAACCCTGAGGCGACAGTGTTCCTTAATCTTAAAACCTGGCACATCAGGGTAAATCAAGGTCCCGAAAAATTTACCCAACAGCATCAGTGTTACTACCAAAAATCACCCTTCTAATCAGGGCATCAGGGTGATTTACACTGATAACGTGGGCCCTGGTTGCCACGCGTCACACCTCCTGTAATGCCCAATTGTGACAGGTACGTCAGCATTTCTCGCGTGACGGGCGGCAAAAGCGCATGATCGACGTGGCATCATGACTCCATTGACCACGAATTCGCCCACAACGTGAATCTGGTGTTTTTTTAATGTGACTCGCTAAGCATCTCACCGGTTAAACACCACCCATGCAAAAGAGGGGGGGGTCTTATAATGAATGGGGTCAAAAGGCGGGTCCTCTCCAGGACTGACTTAATAAAAGACCCTTGGTCCGGATAGAAGACCCACGGGGCTTGTACGCGGGGGGGTCTTGTAACCGGGAGATCACGGTGAGATGATTAAAAACATGCAGTACAAGGAATATAAATGTGAGTACAGGGGAATTCGAAACGACCTAGCTAGCCATGTGCTCTGAGGGGTACATTCCCTTATTACAGCGAAATCCAACCGTGCGACTCCGAGTGGTTACGTAACTGTTCGGGCAGAATCCTCGCCACTGCTGCTGCCTGATGCTGTCTGCCCGACGGTCCAGATGCTTTTCGTAACCGTGTGACTCTTCGCGTCACTTGCGCCCTTTCATCTTCATTCCCGGTAGTGCGTGCTTTGGTTGCTGCGGAGAGGAGTGTACAGTAGTGTTTCGATAATCACTATTCGTAACTCTTTCCAATACAATTCATTTTATTTACACGATACTGTCACCTCGTGCCGAGGGAAGTTGTGGTGGAGGAAGCAAAAAAGGGACCTGCCCAGACGTGGCTAGTGCTTCTGTAAGTTCGGGCACAACCGGCTCTATCTGCAAAAAGGAGCAGTCAACTGGTGATGAATTCTTCAAGCTAATGACACAGAGAATTGCAAACCACGATGCCAAAACAAGTGTCCAATACGTATCAAATCCCTGCAGATATGGAAACAAAAGCAGAGAGGTGGTACTCAGCAACTGCCACAAGGTTGTACTGACTTGAAAACAACATTGCAGACAGTGTACAGTGTACGGACCTTCAGGGCTCCCCAGGCAAGAAGATAGCCAGCAATGATGCCTGCAAGATGACCCACGAAGCTTGCCTGCCATTCACAGATGGACAAGAATGTGAGAGAGAAAAATACTGACGACTACGCTTGTTCTCAGGAACGGTGCAAAGGGGAGACAACCAGGTGGAACGAGGCGAGGAGGACTATGTGGGGAAGCAAGAGAACGTCAGATGGACGGAAGATATTCACACCTTCGGCACGATGAAGGACGTGAAGATGAGAGATTCAAACGGGGCCAGCGACACGGGCAGCTTGATGAGGCCAAAAACCGAGAGCGTGATGGCGGGGCGGCGCACAGACAGCACCGTCATCCACCCAAACACCACACACGAGTACCCCACTGCTGTCACTCTTCGGAAATACTCCAGGCGCCACCTGTGGATGAGCACGTGGTACACGGCTAGACCCAGCAGCCCTGACAGCACCAGCATGAGAAAAGAGTCTCTTAGGTACCCGATGGACCCTCCTGGCTCCCATCCTGCCGCCGCCAGATGCTGCTCGTTTGTTGGCAACCCTGCTTTGTCACCCTGCTGTTGCTGCTGCTGCTTCCGATCACTCTCGTCCGCTGAATTCTGCTGCTGCTGCCCCTGAATCGAACCTGCGTTGGCAATTTCTCCCAATCCTCTTCTCGCCACGGCAGCAGTAGCAGTAGATTCTACAGGCTCAGAGGGTTCTGTGCTGGAGTTGCTCGGACCAGTAAGGCTGCCAGAAATGGAAGAGTGCGGAATGCTTTGAGCCAGAGAGGAGGAAGGCTGGGAGGAGGATGGGAAGGAAGAGGAAGGGAGAGAGGAGGGAGAGGAAGGAGCTAGCGGCACAGAAGAGACGGCGGACTGCCATTGGCTGGACGTCGCATTGCCAGCAGCACCACCAGTGGCCATAACGGCAACCTTGCTGATGTCAGCGGAGGTTAGGGTTTCGATCCCGCCCATGCTCCAGAGCGCGGAGACGTTGAAGAGGAGGTGCAGGAGGGAGATGTGCGAGAGCGGCGCGGACGCGAGCCGCCAGAACTGGCGGTGCGAGACGACTGCGTCGTAGCTTATCCCCACGTCGGGGTAGCTTATAGCACGTTTCTGGATCTGGAACCAGATGAAGGAGCAGAGCGCGACGACGAGCGTGGTTGCTGGCTTGCGGAGCACATCGAGTAGTAGCGGCACCCCCATGGCCCTCGCGCCTCGCGCCTCGCCTATCACCTCTCGATTCCCGCCCCCCGCGTCTCTCGTATCGCCTCTAGCGTGTCGCCTCTCGGGCCCCTCGTCTCCCGTTTCGTCGCGTCGAGCAGCAGCGGGGCTGGCCTTCCTAAATCATCCTACTGACACTCTATCGGCTCTTACTGCTCTAACAAGCATCGGTTCGACACCTCGTCAACGGACGGCCTAAGTCCCGTAGCCTGCTTGCGTCGGTGCAGGAGAAGCGGAGCAGATCGCCTGAATGCAGTACGCTGTGAGCTTTCCTGGGTGGGCCGACACTTTTAGTCAGCGGCCTTTTTATTTAACTCATGTGATCGCGCTGCATGGCTACGCCGAACATGGTCCGTGATGCGCTCTCCTCGATCATGCATGATTAGTGCGCTGCATGCGGATTAACTAAATGATGCGGCCAGAATCTAGACCAACTGGCTATGTGAGCATTTGATCAAATCCACTTTGAATGCTGGAATCAAGGCGACAAAAGAAAGAAACTGGTCAAAGCCTCAACGTATTCGCGTTTCAGGGTGATTCCAGTTTCCGGTTACGATTTTCAAAACGCACCTGTTTAAGTTTCGCTACACCTGAATGCAAACTCCAAGTTAGGGGTGACAAAAAGCATGTCAGCCCGTGCCGTGCCACGTGGTCCACTCTATCTTTCCCAAAGCCAACCTCCGCCACCAGCTTCGCGCCAACGTGGCCAGAAAAAAGGCCCCGTTGCAGAAAGCAGCTGGCGCTTCTGCTCCGCCAGCCCTCGATATTCCCCCCCCAGTGCGGTTGATCAACCTGCGCTGCAGAAGAGTAAAGTCATTTATTTATTCTTTGTTTTCTCCAGAACAGCGAAGCCATTGTCACGTTTGAGGAACTCAAGGAAATCCTTTTTGTCAAAATGCTCGCCTCGGAGCTAGCCGTTGGCTTTGGCTGTGTCGCAACAACTCCCTTCGCCCCATCCTCCTCTCACCACCGACCAAGCACTGCTCCTCCCGTTTCTGATTCCCTTTCCAGCACGTTCTTTGCAAGCCAACCAAACCGGTGCCTTGGAGCCGCTAAATCTTCTATCCGATCGGTTAGGCGGTTGAGATTAGCTACGCCGGTCTATGCTAGACACCTGGATTCGCAGGTTGTCGCTGCAGCAGCTCCTTTAGCGGGAGAAACGGCGGGAGTGACGGCGGGGAATGCGGCGAGGGAGAGTGTTGGGTCAGCAGAGCGGGGACTGACGGTCGTGGATGTAGATTTGGGAGATCGGAGTTACCCGATTTACATTGGCGCGGGAATTCTGGACCGCGGAGATTTGTTGTGCAGGTAAGATGATGGACGGTGGAAATTCCTTCTACGCGTGTGGACTTGAACCGTTTGTTTATTCGCCCCAGTATGCCCGACAATGCGAAGTGTTACTTTTCTTTAGTTTCTCATCTCCTGTTGCCTTCGTTTACTAATGATTATTGCATACTATTTATGCTTTCTTTATAATCCGTCCTTGGTACGTTCTCGTTCCGTGATTTCAGGCACGTCAAGGGCCGGCGTGTGCTGGTGGTGACCAATGAAAGCATCGCGCCGCTGTTCTTGGAGCGGACTATTTTGGCGCTGACACATGGCAACCCCCAATTGGAGGTTCGCAGCGTCGTGCTGCCGGACGGCGAGCAGTTCAAAGACCTGGTAGGTTGTTTCCTGGGTTTGTGGATCTCTCTTGTGATTTTCTCGTCTTTCTTCAGCATTGCGCCGTTTAGAATCATTCCGTTTTTTAATCTGCTTGAAGTGTAGTTTTCTGCAAGCCGTTTATCCTAATCTTGTTCCCCATGTGTCAACGTGGTTTGAAACGCATCATGCTGCTTCCGCGCACAGGAAACCCTCAATCTGATCTTCGACCGAGCCCTGGAGACCCGCATGGACCGGCGTTGCACCTTCGTGGCTCTTGGGGGAGGCGTCGTCGGCGACATGACTGGCTTCGCCGCGGCCTCGTACCTACGAGGCGTCAATTTCATCCAGATTCCCACCACCGTCATGTCTCAGGTATGCTCCCTTCCTCCGCCCAAGAAGCTCCTATTCTCTCTCTCTTCCCTCTTTGTCTCATTGAAGCTTTCTATATCGTTACGTATTGTTCGTCTGCCGTTCCCCTTCTGTCCATCTCCCCTCCCGTCCGTCTCCCTTGCTTACCGTAGTCCATTCGCCTTGAACCCTTCCTCGCTCTCTCTCATTCACCCAGACCCGTCTTCATGCGTTTATTCTTTTCTCTTTTCTCTTCTCTCGTTTCTCTCCTGTGCTTATGTCCAGGTGGACTCGTCGGTGGGGGGCAAGACAGGTGTCAACCACCGGTTGGGCAAGAACATGATAGGCGCGTTCTACCAGCCGCAGTGCGTGCTGATCGACACCGACACGCTCGCGTCGCTCCCCAACAGGGAGCTCGCGTCGGGCCTGGCGGAGGTGATTAAGTACGGGCTCATTCGCGACGCGGAGTTCTTCGAGTGGCAGGAGGAGAACATGGACCGGCTGTTGGCGAGGTGAGAGAGGATGGAAACGTGTTCCAGGTAGCTTCAGGGGTTCCGCAGGGAGGAGGTAGAAGAGATGCTGGAGTTGGGCCTGCCGCGGAGGTGATAAAGTACGGGCTCATCCGAGACGCCAAGTTCTTCGAGTGGCAGGAGGAGAACATGGACCGGCTGTTGGCGAGGTGAGAGAAGAAAATGCATATCTACGTGGCTTGAGGGGTTTTACAGGGAGGAGGTAGCAGGAGGAGAACATGGACCGGCTGCTGGCGAGGTGAGAGAGAGGAATGAAGCATGCCACGTTTCACTGGGAGGTGGTAGCAGGAGGAGTTCTCTTCGGGGCTGGCGTTTCATCTGAGACGCGGAGTTCTTTGAGTGGCAGGAGGAGAACTTGGGCCGGCTGCTAGCGAGTGGAGAGAGAATGGGGCGCCGAGGTTGTTTGACAGATTGGGTTTCACAAAGTTCGTTTCTTTGGGGGGGATTTTTTCAGGTGATTTTTTAGTTGAATTTGTGAGTTTTTGCTGACCATGGGCGGGCGAGGATGGAGGGGAAAGGGGGAGAGGATGTTGCGGAAGAAATGAAGTGTGTGTGTGTGGACTTCAGGTGGGGTGGATGATGATGACTTGTTCAGCGAGAACTGTTCTTTTCAGAGCAGTGGTGAACAGTTGCATTCCACACACGAGATTTCTGACACCCCAACACGCTGAACGCGTATTCTCTAATTTTGTCTTCTGTCCCTCACTGAATGCTGCTCCGTCCTTTTTTTCAAGCTTTAGTTTTTGCTACATGCCTTGATTCGGCCATGGGTGCATGATGAAACTCTGTTCTTTAAGTGAGCTGCGAAGCATATGCGGGTCAGCAGTGAAAAACTTATTCCACACACGAGATTTCTGAAACCCCAATAGTCAGCATCACATTCACCCTTTTCCCTTTTAGATCGTACTCGCATTTCCGTATGCATGCTTCAGGGTGAGACGAGCTCGTAGCTCAAAATGCTTTCACCCCTTCAGCTGAGGGCCATCTGGCCGTCTATTTTTGGAACCTATGTGGACCCATGTGGCCCCGTTTCAAGCTGTCTGCCCGTCTGCGGCTTTCGGCCGTCTGACCATGCATGTGCGGCCTTATGTGATTACATGGCAGGGACCCGGCAGCACTGGCATTTGCGATCAAGCGGTCGTGTGAGAACAAGGCAGCAGTGGTGGCGGCTGATGAGAAAGAGGGCGGCCTCAGAGCCACTCTCAACCTTGGCCACACCTTCGGCCATGTACGTTATCCAAGGATGAAAAATACGGAAGTCGTATTATACGGTCCGTTTAATACGATGGTATTTTACGGCAGTTTTTGGTAAAATACGGCGTTTTTTTATTAAAGGTTTTTTTCCAGTTTTTTCTTTTTTGCGAAATCCTTGAAACGATTTCAGCCGGGTATGGAGGGTGCACATTAGCCTAAAAAACAATAGATATCAGCTCCCACTACTACTACAGTCTACAGATCATCCCCTCCCCTCCCCCCCCACCACTAATACTCCCCTTCCCAACTTCTTTCCACTACCCCTACGTATTACCACCACTAATATCCTCCACTACTCATCATCCCCCTCCTCCCCCTCGTCATCCTCCTCCTCCGATTCTTCCCCGCTCGATCCATCACTAATGTCCCACGGATCCTCGCCCCCCCGAGTCCTCCTGGTGGTGGGCACATGCTCTTCCACATTGCCACTGCTGTCCGCCGCCTCCTCCTCCCCACTGCTGTCCGCCGCCTCCTCCTCCTCATCCTCACGCGCAGCCGCTGACCTCCCCTTACCTTTGCAAGGCTTGGTCGCCTTGCCCTTCCTCTTCCTTTTGGTGCTCTCACCCACCCTCTTCTTCTTCTTGCCAATCTGCCCGAAATGCTCCCAGTCAACGGTGCATCCCACATTCACCTCTCCCTCCTCCTCAGCATCCCCCTCTTCCTCCGCCTCTTCCTCTGCCGGAGCGACGACACACCCTTCCTTGAGGGCACCGTTGGTCAGATCGGCGTAGAGCTTCTCCCTCACCTTCTGCTTTCTGTCAAAGGTGGCCCGAGCCCTCCTCGTGAATGCGACATAGGTCACGTCCGTCATCTTCTTGGCGGAGATGCGGTTACGGTCACGCCGTTGCACACGAGCAATCGCGGACCAGTAACGCTCCACCTCGGATGACGTTACCGGCTGTGACAGGTTCATCACTGCCAGCGACTGCAGCGCCTTCACCTCCCCGCCGTACATCCACCACCATTCAGCATCCGTCAGGCGCCCCCCCTCCACCAAAACCTTAGCAGCCCGCCGTGCGTCGGGGGACCCCAACCGCCCCTCGCCCTTGTGGAACTGAGCCAACTGCGCCTGGATGAGGGTGCGCTGGGCGACATCCTTCACCCGTGCTTGGATGACCGCCTCCGCCCCAGTCCTCACCTCCTCATCCTCCCGCACTTCCCCCACGTACTGATTGCGGGGGTTGAGGAGCCACCCGAGAGCGTGCAGTGGGTTATGCATCTGTTTGTCCCACCTCTTGGCTAGGATAGCCTTGATTTCCGCCAGGAATGCGGGCTTGTCCTTTGCCAGCAGCAATTCTGTGCGCTTGACAAACATGGTGGCTGTCAATGGGAAGTACAAACACGATAACGGGCGGTAAGTATGGGCAGGAATGGGGTATGCATGCAATCACGACTCTCAATGGCGTTCATGCTAGGAAATGTATGTCTTACCTCCAGCCTGGGCCGCCTCGTTGGTCTTCACCGTGGCCTCTAGCATGAGGCCATACACTTGCCCCATGACTAGAGCCCGCGTGTCGACGACCCGAAGGACGTCATACACGGGCTGCATGATGCGGAGCACCGCGGTTGCGCAATCCCAAAACACCTCATCCAAGAGGAGGTGTCGGACCGCCTTCCCCTCCGGCTGCTTTGCCACCGCAATGTCCTCCCACTCCTCACTTATGACCATCTGCCGCAGCGACTTCTTTACTTCGAGGAATCGGTCGAGCATGATGACGTTCGTGCCAAACCGCGTTGCACCAGGCCGCACCAATGCAAGCTCGTTAAAGACCTCATGGAAGAGGGTGACGGCGGAGGCGCTTGCCTTCACCATCATGACCACGCGGTTCACCTGGCTAATGACCCGCTTCACCGCACGAATTTTCCCGAAGTCGTGAAGCATGAGGTCGAGTACATGCGCGGCGCAGTTGTTGAAGAAGATGCCCGGGTATTCGTCGCGCAAAATGTCTGCCGCCTTTCGATTATTAGACGCGTTGTCCATGACAACCTGGACGACAGTCTTGTCCCCCACCTTGACAATGGCGTTGCGGAGGAGCTTGGCAAGATACCCGCCTGTTTTCTTGGCGGTTTTCGAGTCAATTGTTTCCACAATCACCGGAGCCGTGTCGTTGAGGGCGATAACGCAAACAAGCCCTCGGCTTTTCAAACAAGTCCATCCGTCGCACGTCAGGGTGCAGCCGCGCTTGAGCCAACTCTCCATCATCGGCTTCGCTAGCTCCTCCGTATCCGCCCGTAATTTGAGCAGAAGCGGGCCTCCAACCTTGTAGGGGGACGGGAGGGTGTATGGCTTCGCGAAGGCGAGAGCCGCATCAACAAATTCCTGCACCGCCCTCGACTTCGACGACTGGAAGGCCCAATCGTTCTCCGCAACAGCCGCGGCCCAGAGGTAGTCCAGACGAGTGCGCGCAGTCGTATCCGCCATGTCGCGGATGTCGCGCTGCCTAGCGCGACGAGGGGCAACTATCTCAACCGTAGTAGATGTGGAGGCTCGGTTTGACCCACCGAATGATGAGCGTGCCTGTTCCTCTGCTTCTTCGCGAAGCTTCTTTGCGACATCAGAATTGCAGGGAGTCACGTTCTTATCCTTCTTCGTCTCTGGCGTCCCGAAGACATGCTCGCCTATGCGCGTCGCGTTGGCAGTCACGGTTTCACCACAATGTTTGCATTTCGCAGTGAGGTTTCCGTCCTTCGATGAACCCTCCGTCACAACATGAACCCATAGTGGCGACTTCGGTCGAACCATGGCGTCTGAATGCCTGCTCTAAACGAGAGGTGAGAAGATTTGAGAGATGTAGTGCTGAAGTGAGTGAATGGTGCTTCTATTAGTACTTAGCTAGGGCTTTGGTGTTTGCTGTGTCGAGAGAATTGTGTGAGAGGGATGAGTTGAGGAAATGTAAGGCGATTGGCTGGCTTGGATGCGCCGCGTGAAGGTTGGGGTTTGTGTAGGATTTGGGCGAAAAATAGCTATTGGGCGCGAGATTTCGAAACGGGCATAGCGAAACGGGTGAACTAGTTTCAACCGTTCGCCAAATGTTGAAATGTCGCGACTCGGTATAACACTCTCGTTGCGCTTCGACGAAACAAATTTCGCTGTAGCGAAACAGGTAATCCCTGGTTTCGCCATCGTAATGTCGCGACTCGAATGTGTGGTGGAATTCGCGACCCGGGCCGAAATTGATTCTGCCACGATAAATTCGTGCGCAATTTCACCCTGAGATTGTATGGGGGACAATTGACAATCTCACTATAGTGTTTCACGGTTTCAAAAAATCGGTCGTTTAAAACAACCGTATTTTTAATCGAAACAGAAAAACACAAATTAACCGTATTTTACCGTTTAAAACGACCGTTTAATACGATACCGTATAATACGGTAAAAAGGCAAAAAAACGGTCGTATTTTTTATCCTTGACGTTATCCATGTCCACTCCTTTTTGCATTGTTCAGCATACATTTAACTGGGCTGGGATGGGATGCCATTGGCTGGGCTATGGTGAGGGTTTCATGGCCAACTCCTGCCCTGTACCATCTCCATCTTCTCTCCCTCTCCCCTTGAGCGCGAACTGGGCTGCACTGAGTGGTGACTCGCTCATCTCACTGCCTCTCCATCTCTTCCTCACTCATCCATGCTTCCAGTCCATAGAGAACGATTTAGGATAGTTTTTTAGTCGACTCAAAAGCTGCTTTTGAGTCGACTCAAAAGCTGAGTAGTGTCTTGCTCGTCTTACTGCCTCTCCCTCTCTTCCTCACTCACCCACTTTTTCAGGCCATAGAGAACGGATTAGGATATGGCGAGTGGCTGCATGGGGAGGCGGTGGCAGCAGGCACGGTGATGGCAGCACACATGTCGCACCGCATGGGGTGGATCGACTCGGCTCTGAGGGATCGCATCACTGCTATCATCAAGAAGGCCCGGCTGCCCACGCGGCCCCCGTCTGCTGTCACCAAGGAGCAGTTTAGAAGCCTCATGGCGGTACGTGCGTGTGTGAGGGGTTAAGAGGAGAGGGAGGAAGGGGGCTGTGCAAGTAGTGAGTGAACAGACATTCCTCATTTTCTCCCCGTTTGCTGTCACTAAGGAGCAGTTCAGAAGCCTCATGGTGGTACGTGCGTGAGGGTGAGGAGAGGATTGAAGGGAGGAAGGGCTTGGTTGTCCTATGCAAACAAAAGGGATGTTTGTGGTGGGATAAGAGGAGGTAGATATTCCCCACACCGCCGCCGCCGCCGCCGCCTGCTGTCACCAAGGCAAAGTTCTGAAGCCCGATTGCGGTATGTGTGTTGTTCTGAGCAAGCATCCGCCCTCGCCTGCGGTCACCAAGGAGCTGAGAAGCCTCATGGTGAGTGGATAACACTCGTTTGCCTGATAGGCACAAGGATATATGTGTTCCAAGATTTCGTTTTGCCCGACTGCCCAGCCCACCCTCTCTCCGCCCACCTCCCACTTACCTCCTACATACTGGTGTTTTTGCTTCCAATATGGCAGGTGGATAAGAAGGTAGCGGACGGCCAGCTGCGTCTTATTCTGCTGAAGGGTTCATTGGGTGACTGTGTTTTCACCGGTGACTTTGACAAAGCCGCACTAGAAGCTACCTTGGACGAGTTTTGTGAAGTTTGTGGAGAATAGGTGATTTGTGCATTTTATTTGGGTTCTGGGCCGGGGAATGCGCACAGGAGAATCTATTTTGCTGATAGTACAGGGAGCTTATTGGCCAATTCTATGTCATTGTTATTAGCATTAAAAAGTCAGTCACATTTATTACAAAAATTGCCAGTCGCCCACATTTCAGGGTGCCCAGTGGCACTGAGCCGCCAGAATTTGCGCTTTCATGAGGACATTGATCGACGAATCGGAGCATGAACCTGCGAGCAGAGCGTGAATCGGGACCGTATGATGGTAATCGGGTGAACCTCGAGAATTCCGTCATCTGGCCCCTCGGTTTCGGCGCGCGCTACGCTCACGAGGCCACCATTGCTGCTCTCCTGCTTGTCTTGTTTCAGTTGTTCCTGTTTCGCCTATTGCTTGTGCTGCAGATTCTAAGGACGCCGAATTTGGTTCTTGAAGGAACCGACTGCGTTTTGTCTAGACTGCTCGTCGAAGGACGTGTACATGCAAAGACAGTTTCCATCATGATGCCCTGAACCACGAACGCGAGTTAACTCCAAGCTGATCATATGAATCACGGACCGCTGCCGTCAGCGTAGCTTCTTTCGTCCACGGCTTCGCGCCATGGAGGCATCTACAGTGTCCGTTTGCACATTCTCTCGTCAATCTCACGCCACTGGTCGCCTTGCACTCTCCAATGCCAGCAACCGGCCATTGAAACAAGCCTCGCACACACACCCGCGCTGTCGTATCGCGTTCACAGGCTCCCTAGATTGTGGATCGATACTTCAGTTTCAAACTTCGACCAGCACCCGTCAATTCTTGGCCAATCACCCTCTATTCGGCGGCTCGCATGCACTTCATAAGCCGCTGGCTGCGTATCCAGAACGGTCGCGTGACGTCACCGCGGCGGCACGATCAGACTCTTCAGATAGCGCGAGTTCTAGTAATCAGCTTCGGGAGCAGCAAAACGCTGGAACACGGCCTGAACGGAACTCATTGGGAGGGAAGTCCGCTCGCGACACGGTGACGTCACGCTCTTTTGGAGTTTTACCTCGGGACGGTTCTAAACTAGGAAATGATCAAAAGGTTTCGCGATTGCCGCGAAATGCGCCATGGTTACCGCCGTTCCCTGGTCCGCAGCTTTCAGTGCCGGAAGCGGAGCTGATCGCGGCGCTTGCGGGTGCTGTCGCACAGTCGCAGGTGAGCTTCCAGACTGTTCCAAACTCGATTGCAGAGCTGATAGCGGCGCTTGCTGGTGCCGTCGCACAGTCGCAGGTGAGTCTGATTGTTCCAGGTGTTATTTACGCCGGTAGTCCTGGAAATCTGACGTATCACCCCCTCACTGAGCAGCAGCATCAGCAGCAACAGTTGCTTTCCTTGTTCCTTTTCAGAATCTCTTGTTTGCTAATCAATTTTACCTCCTGTCTCAGGCAAAACTCCTTGCCAGCGTCAGCAGCAGCATTGGGGATGCAGTGACACGTGTCCAGAAGCTTATCCAACCGTCGCCTCCGGGGCTGCCACCTGGACCTTCTGATGACTCAGCAGTCAGGCTGGCGTCAGATCCACTCGCCTTCCTGGATGACGTGGCCAGGGACTATCCAGGCGGCATTGCCACTGTCAGATTGGTGGGAGAGCCCGTACTCGTTATAAGCAACCCGTGCGTGTTATGAAAAAACGTTTCGTTTTTCTGTTTGTCTGATTTTCAAGTGTCTTTGGTCGCCTATCCTCCTTATTACCCATCCTCCCTGTCATCACGACTCTGGTCTCTTTTATTGCAGCTGCCAACCAACGCCTCTTCACATGCATTCCCGAGGCCTTTTTTCGCACTTCTGTACACGCTGCTCCCCCTCTCTCGTCCCCTTGTTAGGCGATCGACGTGTTTGACGGCTCGTTGGAAAGCTAAGACAGAGCTCTATCGTTTAGAACAACTCCCAGTTCCTGCAAAGTAGAGGAGAGTCCTTTACAACAGTGGTATCAGAGCTGGTCGGACGAGTCTACGCACGCGACAAGGAGCACGCATGATGACTTCAAGCGAGGCCTCCCGCACTTCCTTGGATGGTGTCGTTGTAAATTCCGGCGAACCCTGGGCAACCGCGACGATGTTCGACACGTCGGCGGTACCGATTTTCACGGGACAAAACTACTCCGCGTGGAAGTTTAAGTTCCAAGTGCTCATGATGGAGCGGGGACTTTGGGGTTTCTTCGATGGAACGGAGAAGAAGCCGGACGATGAGAGCGGCATCGCGGCATGGAAGAAGAAGGACCAAAAGGCGTTCGCTACGTTGATTTCGCGCATCGGCATCAATCTCGTGAGCTCGGTGCGCATGTGCATCAAGCTCGAAGCGTCGGCGCATGAAGCGTGGAAGTGGCTCGAAACCATCCACGTGAACAAGACTCTCCACGGCAAGATCCTAGCCCGGAATGCGTTCTACACGGTGAAGATGCGCGCGGGCGAATCGATGCACGAGTTTGCGACTCGTGTGGAGGAACTCGGGGAAACGTTCATGGACCTCGGTGGAACGGTCACGGAGGAGGATTGGATTCTCACCTTGCTTTGCGGCCTTCCGGAAGAGTGGTCGACGGTGATTACGACACTCGATAGCGTGCAAGACACTTGGACGAAGGAAATGGTGGTTGGTCGGCTTCTCCATGAAGAATCGCGTCGCCGACAATTCGCTAATGAGAGCGAGGGTGCCGCCATGTACTCCTGAGGGAGTTCCGGAGAGAAGTCCAAGTGGAGCAAGGACGCAACGAAGGAATCGTCCGGTGGGAGCGAGCATCGCGGCAAGTGTCACTATTGCCGCAAACCGGGACACTTTTGGCGTGAGTGTCGAAAGCGGCCGAGCGATTGGACTCCATCGATGGCGCGGGACCAAGAGGGCAACGCGCACTCGGCGTCGCTCCTCAACAACATTGGCGCTCCGGGAGACGTCACGAGCATCGTGTTCGGAAACAACGAATCGCTACCGGTGGTCGGAGTTGGGAGTACGCGCCTCATCGTCGATAGCGGTCCGGTGGACGTGACGAACGTGTTTCACGTCCCGGGGGTGAAGGTGAACCTTCTATCCGTCCCGCAACTTGCGAAGAAGGGAGTGATCGCCACGATCGACGGTGCGAAAATGAACCTCTTTTGGAAGGGGGAGCAATTCGCGCAAGGTGTTCTCAACGGAGATATCTACCAACTCAAGACGTACCCGAGAGCGGCTTCATCCAACGTGGCGCAAGGCTCCAAGGCGACTCTCAAGGCGTGGCATAATCGGCTTGCGCACGCCAACTACGACTCGGTCAAGGAGTTGGCCAACAAAGGACTTGCGAAGGGAGTCGACGTGATCGCCGGCAACGACGAGAAGGGCGTGTGCGCGGCGTGTGTCGAAGGAAAAATGGCTCGCAAGCCATTTGGTAGCCGTACCTCACCCCTCGCAAAGGACCCTCTTGCGCTTGTTCACATGGACGTGTGTGGACCGATGCGGCATGCATCAAAGGGAGGAGCGCGGTTCCTCTTAGTGATGCTCGACGACGCGACGCGGATGAGTTGGACCCGACTCTTGAAGGCTAAGGGAGATGCGGCCAAGGCGATTCAAGAGTGGGCGCTCGACGTTTGCGACGACGGCAAGAAGCGGATCAAGTGCATTCGCACCGACGGTGGCGGCGAATTCGTGAGCAACGAGCTTGAAAAATGGATGAAAAGCAAGGGCATTAAGCACGACGTCACAACACCCTACACACCCCAACAAAATGGAGCGGCGGAGCGGCTTAATCGCACGTTGGTGGAAGCCGTTCGTTCTCTTCTTCAACACTCCAAGCTTGGGAAAGAGTGGTGGGGCGAGGCGAGTTCGCTAGCGGCGTGGATTCGCAACCGTTTGCCGACGAAGGTGCTCCCGGGAATGACTCCGTTCGAAGCATGGACCGGAACGAAGCCGAACCTATCCCGCCTTCGCACCTTTGGGTGCCTTTGCTACTACCATGTACCGGATCCCCTTCGCCACAAGTTGCAACCGAAGGCTCGTGCGGCGATCTACTTGGGAATTGCGGCGAACGAGCGTGCGTGGCGAGTGTGGGACTTGGGCGACAAGTGCGTCGTCACGCCTCGGGACGTGGTCTTCGATGAAGACAAGTTCCCGTCGAAGGAGAAACCCACTCAACAACTCACCTTCATCCTTCCCCCACGAGAGGAGGTTGAAGAGAGTGAGACTCCACCTCAAGTGGAGAAGGAAGCCGATGGAGGGGGAGCGAACAACGAGGAGAGCATTGATGATGTCGTGGAGGTGTCACCAACCGAGGCGGCAACTACCTCCACACCTTCCTCCCTACCATTGGCCTTGACCCGCGAGCGTCGTGAGGTTCGTCCTCCCTCCAAGTACAACGACTAC